GCTCTCTCGGCAGTGCTAAAGCCTTCAAATAAAGAATCTCTGGTCTCCCTAGGGCTCCTTTTCAATTTAAATGGGCTTGTTTGTTACTATCAAAATTATATATATTCAGAGACTAAGCATTAGTCTAGGCCAGGGCGGTTACTAGGACTTTCGGCAGTAAGGCTGCTGGATGATGTCTATGGAATAGACTTCCATTTGAGACAAGAACTCCCCAGGAACTTAATTGGAGCTTTAAATCCAGTCTGAAAACTCATTTGTTCAGGACAGCATTCATAGTCCCAAAGTGTTTATGAGCATGCAGTTTGCTCAGATTCTTACGGCGTCCTTGAGCAGTTTCCTAGTAAACTGGATACTAGCAATATAAAATCAGGTCACTTTATTCAGAATTGAAGGCCATGTGGCCAAGAGTACAACAGGTAATACAACATTGTCAGGTGTGTCGAGTTGAAATATTATAAATGATAATACAGTTATGTTAAAGTAGGTTTTTGCTTCAGGAATATACATATCCCTTTGAGAACATTGACATTTTGTATCTTCATAAGGGCTCGAAATTTGACAATTGAAGGTGGGCTGTAGAAATAGGCTGGAATACATTGGTATCTGCGTCGGTTATAAAATGGACACATTAGCAACATGTGATATTCATCTTCAAGCAAGTTTAAATTACATTTGCTACAAATTAATTCATTACATGGGACCATTATCGTTGAAAAACGTTGTTTTTGTATTTTCTAGTTATGTGATTGACATTGAATGATTAACATTCGCACTAGATCTTTGTTTAATGCGCCACAGGAAATATACAGTTCAGGTTCTAGAAGTGACTGAAATGTACTATAATTTACAAGAAATGATGAGTTACTTAGTTAATAATAAGTAAAAAATAATATGTGTATTTATAATGCGCTGAATTCCACACATAAGGCATGCTCAAAGCGCTACATATTTACACATACTTACAAAGCAAAGGTTATGCTAGAACGAGGCTGAAATTTTTGGAAAGTTAAGTTATAGATTGTAATATTTTCTGAAAAGATGGGTTTTCAGGGAACTTTTAAATGAGTCAATGGAGTGGGACATTTTGAGTTCAGTCGGGAGTTGATTCCACAACTGTGGAGCACCATAGCTGAAGGAGCGAAACCCGAATGCCCGGAGTTTCTGTCTGGGAATAGTGAGAAGGTGTCTATCTGCCGATCTTAACATTCTGGAAGGATTGTGCTTGGTGACTAGCTCAACAAGGTACTCTGGAGCCGTAAGATGGTAACACTGGTAGGCAAGACTCAGGACCTTGAATTCAATTCTGGATCTGATTGGTAGCCAGTGAAGAGCCTTAAGAACAGGCGTTATGTGGATCCTAGAGGGAACTTTGCTGACAAGTCTTGCTGCAGAGTTTTGTACTTTCTGGAGTTTTGATAGAAGTTTTTCGGAAAGTCCATAGAAGATGCTATTACAGTAGTCAATCTTTGAGAGAACCAGAGATCGCACCAGTGCATGAGCTGCCGCTGTAGTAAGGGAGCTTCGGATGCTGCTAATGTTCCGCAAATGGAAGTAACAGGATTTGCAGACTGTGTCAATATGAGCTTTCAAAGAGAGATCAGAGTCCAGATGAAGTCCAAGGTTTTTTACGGTTTTCGAAAATGGAATGACAGTGTTGCAAACTGTGACTGAGTTAGTCATCACTTGATGAAGATTCTTCTTAGTGCCGACAAGCAACGCCTCTGTTTTCGTCTCATTCAGTTTGAGCAAATGTGTCGTCATCCATGTTTTTACGTCACTTGTACACTCTGACAGTCGTTCCCACATTCGATGTGCTGTAGTGGGATTGCACGAATCAGACAACTGGGTGTCATCAGTATAAAAATGGTGGCTCACATCATGTGTACTGATTACATCTCCTAGATCTCTGGTGTAAAGCGTAAACAACACTGGTCCCAGAACCGATCCTTGTGGTACTCCACAGGATAAAGGGTTTTTCTTAGATGCATGATTATTTATGATAACTGACTGCTGTCGATTGCTGAGGTACGAAACAAACCATGATAGTGCCATTCCGGTTACTCCAAATGAAGTCTCAAGTTCTCTCAGAAGTATATTGTGGTCACTATTCCAGTGTTGTATATTAATATCTATACAATGTTGTATATTAATATCTATACAACGTTGTTTAAAATCTAACATGAGGTGATTTACATCGCCACAATATTGGGCTAACCAGACATAGGAGAATCCTGTAGTAAATAAAAGCATTCGAACATGTGAAACCCAGTTTGTGCCTCCGTTGTCATCATAGACTTTCATCATATTATAGCAGGCATTTGGGTATCTTTGTTGGCTATAAAATCTATGTCAATCTATACTTTAAAGGTTGGTAATAAAGCAAATCCCTGCGGCATACTGTAAAAGTTGATACTAAAGCAGTTCCGTCATACTGTAACGGCTGGTCATACAGCCAATTCGTCATACTTTACAGGTGGTGGTAAAGAAATACCCACAGCCATACTCTAAAGTTATAAGACAATTCTTCCTGGTTGGTCATGAGGTAATTCCCTCCATTACTCTTTAAGGTCTGTCATAATGCAATCTCTTAAGGTCAGCAGTCAAAATGCCATTCCCTCTCTCAGCCTACAAGTTGTCCATAAGGCAGTTCACTCAACCATCCTTTAATGATTTGACGTCTTCGAAAACAGTAATTTATCAAGTAAAACTAAAACACAATTCATTTGAACAAACGTGTTATTTATTTAGAGAAATATAACAAATACATGAACACAGTATTATACATCGTATACTTGAAGCATAACATAGCTGTGTGCTAATCACGAAATCACCTTTTAAAACTATCACGATGCAACTACACATTGAACAATGAATTTGTAACAATGATATTGTACAGCCAATGCTCACACAACCAATGATTAAGTTATTACATACATTATAATACAGATATTTAAGCAAGAAATCAATAACTATGTAGACAACATCGTAGTTCCAATACTTTGACCTAATAAAGTCCTTGACTTGAACCAATTATTTACTATTCATTCAACATAATTACTATACCTATTCAACGAGCTTTGACGAATCATTTGAATTGTGCCCGAAAAGCACATTCAGACACATTTAAGTAACAAATAGGGTATAACAATTTCTCAGCTACATTGACATGATTTAAATGAACAGTTACTTTCAATGGCAACAATAGTACAGATCTGCTTGCCGATGAGCACGTTGGTCCCCTACACAAGTGTACTGATATAATACATGTACAAGCCAAAAGCTCGCAGTGAACGATGCAGATTCCTGATAAACATTTACAAAACGCCCACGCGTGCGTGCGTGCGCGCATGCGCGCGTGTGTGTAATCGCATTACACCTAGAGCCATTGCGGAAATAGTTTGATAAATGATTACACTGAAGAAGATCAATCAACATTACTTTGATAAATGAACACTTTGAAAAAGAACCAATATTTTGATAAATGAACACTTTGAAAAAGAATCAATATTTTGATAAATGAACACTTTGAAAAAGAATCAATATTTTGATAAATGAACACTTTGAAAAAGAATCAATATTTTGATAAATGAACACTCTTAATAAGAATCAATATTTTGATAAATGAACACTTTGAAAAAGAATCAATATTTTGATAAATGAACACTCTTAATAAGAATCAATATTTTGATAAATGAACGCTTTGAGAATAGTACGTAGTATGAAAAATGAACACTTTGAAGAAGAATCAATGTTCCATTTTCACAGGTGCTATTAAGTATTTGTACACCGTGGGTCTGTTCCTGACGTCGGATGTAAGGAATAACGGGCTAATCGGAAGCTGGTTCTAACTCACGAGGAAAGTAAAGCGCAGTAGATACAGATGCTCCAGTCGCCTAATGTGCAGCAAATCGCTGTACAGAGTTGCTTCCCTTAGGCGTCCCGGGAACCTACTCTCATAGATTCAAACAACAGCTTCACACCGAGTATGTTTCTACGTTTGTCAGAGCCATACAAGTGCTGATGGGTTTGACCAGTAGTAAAGGTCCGAGACCTGCACTCACTTCGGGCTTCCATCCCACATCAACACAGACCATTACTAAACGCATCATCTGTCAGTTCTAATGGGCATTTACACTTCCCATTATTCAATGCTTGGTGGAATATGATCTCACCGACCCGTGTGCTTGAATAGTATAGTATAGTACAGTACTGTACAGTACAGTACAGTACAGTACAGTACAGTACAGTACAGTATAGTATAGTATAGTATAGTATAGTATAGCTTGAATAGTATAGTATAGTATAGTATTCAGTGATGTCTGGATGCAGAGTGCTATAATGATGCAGCTTTAAGTCCACGATGAGAACCAACCTGGCCATACCTTTACAACAGTATTGATGGAGGAACAAATATTCAGGGACTGCCAAGGAAGAAATAGCAGCTGTATACGCCATGATTAGGATATATCTAAAATGATAAGATGACAGTAATTGTGACGATAATAGTAATAATTAAAATGTAGAAAAGTGGCAAACAAGAACAAGAAATAATATTTTTAGATAATCCCTGATCAACATAACTCACAACAATACAATGAAGAAGATGTAACGACGATATACTATTATTATGATCGAATGGAAAAAAAGTAACAATTAACTGTCTGTCAGTTACACATGGGTCCCTGCACTACCGTAAGTGTTTTTTACACCGATATCCGATGTATAACAGCCATATCAAGAAGAATCTTGACCAGATATATATTTGTGGTAATGCAGGGGCAACGTCAAATCTAAAACACATGTGTTAAAGTTTTCATCCTTGTCGCGGGAGCGAAATTAGCATACAGTTAGCTATAAATTACGATATCACAAGGATACCATTTCAGCTGCAAGCTTAAGAACCTTCCAGGCCTCATTCACACCAATCTTATACTCAGATCAGATACCTCCCTGCTTAAGAAGTGAAGACACTTCCCACAAGAAAACCTCCTTATTTTTTAGTTTTCCTCGATTCTGCATTTTCGATCGCAGCAATGTCAGAAAACCATCACAGAAAATGAGCGTACCCTCGTTAGTACAGGAAGTAGATACCATGGCGCTCAAAACGACCGGATTGATAAAACATTAGCAATATAATAACGCGGCTGTATTTTTTAGACTTCGGATTTCTTCGAGTATATTTGATTTCGAGATAGAGAAGTCGTATATACTTGTATGGATGATCAGATCAATCGTAAAGAAGAATAAGTCTCGAGGCTTATTCGACTTATAAGATCTGCTATGGAGGAACCCTTGTATTTCCATGCAGAAATTTATTGTATCGTTACAATTTTTTTATAAATCTATTCAAGAATAACAACAGACAAATGGATAATATTACAATGATAAAATAATGGTCATGTCTAGTTGGTAAACGATAGGCACTAAATACTGGTCGCCCCTCAGGGTAACAGGCAATATAACTGTATCTAATAAAGGGAGATAACTATGATAGGCTTATTTACAAGAGGGTTATGTTTCAAACTTGCTGGCATATTTGGCATTATTAGTACCAATGACGCGCATTCTAAAAACATTGATGTAGCAAAACGATCGATACCTATTCCTTTGTGTCTAAGCATGGCTTTTAGTAATATTTCATCATACATACGTTCCTAATTAATTTCTCAAATATTTAGTGTTGGAATAGAGATCAATGCAGCAAATTCACACGACAGACGTCTGCACTTAAAGTGGATCAATATGTCAAAACATTGTCTTTAACACAATTGACAATGATGAACGTTTTAGAGTAGCAATACAATATCTCATAGCTCTTTCATTGGAAAACATCCATCAGGTAACCATATAGATTTTCTTTCGACAATATTCTGCAAAGTAGAAACAATCATAGATATCTCAAGTGCCACCCACATCTTCAATCATGTCGATTAAATGCACCATGCAAGATGCACCATAGCTATTCAATGTGTGAACGCTGTCACATGTTAGAGGGAGACTTGCCTCTGATTGCCTTACACTTCGATGAGGTATTAATGTCAATCAGTGTCATTAGTTCCCGTCAGAACAGACGCACTGCCTGCAATGGACAGCCACCTGTGGGCATCTTAGCAAAACGATCTATAGCTTGAACTGTCTTCACTTATCCTTTGGTGATGGTGTTCCGTTAGACTTGTCCCTGTCTGATGCTCTCCGCTTAGACTCGACCTCAACTTTAACTGTGTATGCTTTGAATAGTTTGTCAGTAATGGAAGCCGGAAGTGACATCAAAATATGCGCGCGCACATCTGACTTCCAATAGGGGACATAGCGTTGTTTGGGTTTGGAGGTGGTAACAGCTTTAACCATGAGATCCACGACCTCATTGGTGTTGGGTCGCGCCCGTTTCATCTGCTGTGTGATGTTCTCCAAAAAGGCGTCGAAATATTCTTCTCCGTAGTCATTTTTCACCTCTTTGGGGGTTTCTGCCCACGACTTCCGGTTCATGTCAATCAAATAGTTCTCACTTGAAATCGGCGTTCTGCAGCAAAGAATAAGTATTGTTGGATATTAGATAACGGAATGAGATGTATATGTAGCCCAATTCATGGTGTAGCATGTAAAATGAAGAATACCAGATAAAGAAGAAAGAATATACTCCGAAACGTCGTGTTCCTCAAATAAAGAAGTTGACATCCATAAATTCTCGCTTTGAGGAAGAACGGTGTTACAATAACTTACTTTATCTGTTCTGCAAATAACGTAAACCATACCTTTTTATATTTATCAATATTGTTATTGTATATTTCATATCATCCTATACAAGATCTGACATTAAACACTTGAAAAGTAATACTCGAAACTTGCTGTGTAGGCAAGACCTTCTCCGCCCTTATTACGCCACATAAATAGAACACAGATTTTTAAGAATAATGTTTGAAACTTCCTGGTTCTTTCTGTTAGAATAGCGTCAAATGAATCTACTTCAGGTATTATTGTTCTGACCTTCTCCGTTTATGCCCTTGTCATGCGATAGCGACCATTTTACTGAGCATATTCAGTCCGCCCATCAAAGACATACGTAGAGTGAGTGAGTGAGTTTAGTTTTACGCCGCTTTAGCAATATTCCAGCTACATCACGGCGGGGGACACCAGAAATGGGCTTCACATATTGTACCCATGTTGGGAATCGAACCCGGGTCTTCGGCGTGACGAACGAACGCTTTAACCACTACGCTACCCCACCGCCCCAGACATATGTAGAAGTGGTACTGATCAGTGAATGTGGAGGTTCTGTATTTAGGCTAAATTTTAGTTTACTCTGGAAAGTATGATACGATATGAGAATATGACAGAGAACAGTAGCGATTATCTGACGAAACTGGTTCCATGATCAGTATACATCAATGAACTGGTTATTGCGAACAGAGAAGGTATGTCATGTTCTACCGGAAGAAGCACCACTGGTGGTTTGTAATGGGAGGAAACAGAGAAGTCTTTATGTTGTTATCAGTTGTAAGACGAACCTGTACAAGCCTGGTTCGATGGTGATCACGCTGACGTCAAACTTTGCCATCTCCAGACGCAGACCATCCGAAAAGGCAATACAGGCCTTCTTGGACATGGAGTAGGCAGAGAACGCGGGGAGAGTGAAGCGACCTGCAACAGACATTCACCGTTACCACACGAGGACCAAAGTGGCGCAGAATGCGCAATACATTTTTTAAACATACTTTACGTTTTAACGTATAGAAAACAATATACTCGGTCATTTGGTGACATATTTCAACAAAAGTACAATTAACTGACAAACATTCCTGGTGCATGTGTTGAGAATGATCCATTTGAGTGTGATATTCTAAGTGCACTCCTATGTTTACAGAAAGCTGCTTCTTATACACTGATAGTTAGTGAGTGAGTGAGTTTAGTTTTTTACGCCGCTTTTAGCAAAATTCCAGCAATATCATGGCGGGGGTACACCAGAAATGGGCTTCACACCCTGTACCCATGTGGAGAATCGAAACCGGGTGTATGAACCCATTTCTAGTGTCCCCCCGCCGTGATATTGCTGGAATATTGCTAAAAGCGGCGTAAAACTAAACTCACTCACTCACTATCAGTGTAACGAGCGAACGCTTTAACCACTAGGCAACCCCACCACCCTTATACACTGATAGCATAGAAACCGGCTGCCTCGCATGACACTGGTTGATGCGATAAGGAGAAACCAATGCATGACAACAGAATACGCACGAAAGAGTTTTATCTCACTCGCAGGTTGTTTCCCAATGAAGAAACTGAACAATTTGTATCATTTGTAATAAACATCGTTCATTATAAACTTGACGAGCTCTTCATAAAATGAAACTCTTATGCAAAGTGATGGGACTTTAAGCTCCCACGGACTTCAGTGGGTACTTTGCTTACAGTCGTATCTCAAAACCTCATAATAGTCGCATCTCACAACGTCATCTCTCAAACAGACGGATCTCACAACTTCATCTCTCAAACAGGCGTATCTCATTCCGTAATGCCCCAAACAGTCTCAAAACAACTACATGTCTAACACAGTTGTTCTCACAAGTGTTTGTGAATGCAGACTTGATCTCTCACTATATGCCTGGAATAGTGCCGATGTGACGTAAAGCCCAACTCAACTCAATTGTTCTCACAACGTTAATGTCTCAAACAGTCGTATCTCACAACGTCATCTCTCAAACAGACGTCATCTCAAACAGCCGTACTTCATCTCTCAAACAGTCATATCTCACAACTTCATCTCTCAAACAGTCGTATCTCACAACTTCATCTCTCAAACAGTCGTATCTCACAACGTCATCTCTCAACCAGTCGTATCTCACAACGTCATCTCTCAACCAGTCGTATCTCACAACGTCATCTCTCAAACAGTCGTATCTCACAACTTCATCTCTCAAACAGTCGTATTTCACAACGTTATGTCTCAAACAGTCGTATCTCACAACCTCATCTCTCAAACAGTCGTATCTCACCACGGCATGTCTCAAACAGTCGTATCTCACCACGGCATGTCTCAAACAGTCGTATCTCACCACGACATGTCGCTGGTGGTACGATGCCTGTACGATATGTAAGGGAAGTGTAAAGACAAACGATGGAGGATGGCATCTTGTTTGAGCAACACTTGACGCTCGAGTGTACACTAGGGTGGCTTGTTTGCCTCGTCGGCTATGTAGGTTAGTTCAACTGACATACTGTTCAAAACCTAATCATTTAAACCTAAACCCTTGCTCGTCTTGAAGTACTCGACATGGTCCCAATGACCCCCGTCCCCATCTCACCTATGGACAGCCCACTCCGGGCTCCAATGCTATTGTACGAAGAGGAGCTTTCTGGAGCGGAAGGTCGGGAATTACACTAATTTCGTTGTAACTGTACACTTAGAGTGGAACCCTGAAGATAATGAAACCGTGTTTGTGTTGTGGAACGTCAGGTATTTACAGGAGTGCTACATTTTGTAGAAAACCATATGTCTAAAACAGTCGTATATCATACCGTAATGCCCCAAACAGTCTAAAAACACAACTACATGTCTAACATAGTTGTTCTCAGAAGTGTTTGTGAATGCAGACTTGATCTCGTCACTATATGCCTGGAATAGTGCCGATGCGACGTAAAGTCCAACTCTACTCAATTGTTCTCACAGCGTTAATGTCTCAGTCAGTCGTATCTCACAACGTCATGTCTCAAACAGACGGATCTCACAACGTCATGTCTCAAACAGACGGATCTCACAACGTCATGTCTCTAATACAGAATACTACACTCGGTCTCATAACATACGAATTATACCAAACGAGTTTCCTTCTTATGGTATCTGACCGAACGAAAGCGAGGTTTAGAAACCATAGGAAGGTCACGAGTTTCGTATAATTCGAATGTTATGAGACCGAGTGTGGTATTTTATTCATTACCCACGTCTTACATGGTTTAAATTGACAAAATAGCGTATTTTTGTTATTTTTATCGTTTCAAACCGAAACCGGTTTCATAAAGAGGGTGCGGAAGAATATTGTTCTGTAGTACACTTTTGCATGACGTCACACTGTAATGACGTCACTACGCCGTGCTCGTCTGCCCCCTTGGTAACCGACGTCACGATGCATGTCCGTTGTCATCGCCTCGTACAGCCTCCTACATTAAACTACTCCGTAGTACCCCGTTTCTTAGTTTGCAGTTGCTTCACTCGGCTAACATCACTGGTGGAAACTTTGCGTTTATGTTTTTCGACTCATATAATGTCTCAGTTCGACTCCCAATTAAACAGCGATACGGCAACGTTCGCAATGTTTACATTCCCACAATGCAATTAAGTTGTAGAATGAATGAATTCACGTGTTTGTTATGAATGAAAAAGTAGTTCCGTCACAGCGTGACCTAATTGAGAGGTCATCGGTTATCCAATCAAATCGTTAGAATCTCAGGTCAAGTCGTTACAAAAACAGCACACTTCGGCACAGGCTAATTTGCATATCACGTGACCGGACTTTTCTCTTGTTTGTAAACAAACGCGCATATTCATAATATGAAGAGACTGGACTCAGGAAAGCTTTTCGGCGCTCTCTTCATATTGTTTTACATTGTTACATATATATTCTTCCACAACTGCGACAGTAAGGTCTATGACAGTACATATTTAGATATCAAACTGGCTGCATCGTTTGCTCTCCATCAGCTTCGATGACAGCACGTGGAGCCGTACAACCTATGTAAACAAAGAATCGCTGCGCAAATCGAAATAGTGTTACATGTTTTCGGATATTTTCTCAGTGAAACTAAACCATTCTATTAAAGATGTTTAGTTAGATGTGTAGACTCGTCAAAAATAAAAGAGTAAAATAAATCTGTACATTATATTGAATGGACATTGCAAGATGTGACGAATCGTCACATTTTTATGGCCTGTGGCAGAGGTACTATGCTGGCTTGCCGCATGGAACTCTGAGTAGGAGAGTGCAAAAACAGGTCAAGGCGATACGATACTGGTGTGACGTACGAGATAAGTATGCAACTACCCATACGTTGACGACGTGGGTAATAAACAGTCGTATCTCACAACTTCATCTCTCAAACAGTCGTATCTCACAACTTCATCTCTGAAACAGTCGCATCTCACAACTTCATCTCTCAAACAGTCGTATCTCACAACGTTTTCTCTCAAACAGTCGTATCTCGCAACGTTATGTCTCAAACAGTCGTATCTCACAACCTTATGTCTCAAACAGTCGTATCTCACAACGTTATGTCTCAAACAGTCGTATCTCGCAAAGGTATGTCTCAAACAGTTGTATCTCACAACGTTATGTCTCAAACAGTCGTATCTCACAACGTCAAGTCTCAAACAGTCGTATGTCACAACCTCATCTCTGAAACAGTCGCATCTCACAACTTCATCTCTCAAACAGTCGTATCTCACAACGTTTTCTCTCAAACAGTCGTATCTCGCAACGTTATGTCTCAAACAGTCGTATCTCGCAACGTTATGTCTCAAACAGTCGTATCTCGCAACGTTATGTCTCAAACAGTCGTATCTCGCAACGGTATGTCTCAAACAGTCGTATCTCACAACCTCATCTCTGAAACCGTTGTATCTCACACTGTCATATCGCTGTTAGTACGATGTCTGAACGATAGCAGGAAGTGAAGAGACAAACGATGGAGGATTGCAACATGTTTGAGCAACACCCGAGTGTACACTAGAGTGGTTTGTTTGCCTCGTCTGCTGTGTAGGTTAGGTAAAACATACTGTTTAAAACATCCAACCTACAGCAATCATTTATACTTAAAACCTCGTTGATAATATCTTATCAATAGACCACCTACCAATAAAGGTGGTAACGTGATACCGAGTGGCTGACTCATCAAATACCCGAGTTCAGAGTCCACATGGGTACATGTAAAGCCCCTTCTGTGTACATCTGTGGCTAAAAGCGGGAGAAAACGCTAACTAATCATTAAAATTAAATCATAATATATGCTTCATTAAACGGTATGATATATGCTTCATTCGGGGTTGTGATATATCCTACATTCAGGGGTATGATATAAGCTTCACTAAACGGTATGATATAAGCTTCACTAAACGGTATGATACATGCTACTATTGTCTCATCTGCTGACAATTTCCCTGTACATGTATAAATCCCCGAGAGTCATCACGGACAATTCCCCTCTACATGTATAAATCCTCGAGTGTCATCACGGACAATTTCCCTCTACATGTTTAAATCCCCGAGAGTCATCACGGACGATTCCCCTGTACATGTATAAATCCTCGAGTGTCATCACGGACAATTTCCCTGTACATGTATAAATCCTCGAGTGTCATCACGGACAATTTCCCTGTACATGTATAAATCCTCGAGTGTCATCACGGACAATTTCCCTGTACATGTATAAATCCCCGAGTGTCATCACGGACAAATTCCCTGTACATGTTTATATCCCCGAAGGTCATCACGGACAATTTCCCTGTACATGTATAAATCCCCGAGTGTCATCACGGACAAATTCCCTGTACATGTTTAAATCCCCGAAGGTCATCACGGACAATTTCCCTGTACATGTATAAATCCCCGAGGGCCATCGAGATCTACGGACAGTTTTGCCGCGTCATGGAA